TTTGTATGTACTCCTAAGGGTTTGGGTATAGCATAAGAAAATTTGTCTGTTTGTGGTATCCATTTTAAGCCAAGGACACTGTGACAAGGTTGATCAGTGCTTCGAAGCATGAGGGGAGTTTCACGATGATCCAGCGGAACATTTTCAAGAAGTTTCTCATTATTAGAAGACCATTTTCGTAGCTGAAATCCTCCTTTGAGTAGTAAATCGATAACATCTTGCTGTAAGTCAAGGGCTTCATTTAAAGTGTCACAACCTAACAAAGCGTCATCAACATAGATTTGATCTTGCAGAGCTTTGGCTGCTAGCGGATGGTTATCACCTTCATCAGCCATTAGCTGTTGGATAACACGATTGGCTAAATATGGACTTGAACTCATGCCGTATGTAACCGTGGTTAACTGATACACTTTGATCGGATGAGAGGGCTCTTTTCTCCAGTAAATCAATTGAAATTTTCTATCATCTTCATGAATTAATATCTGCCTAAACATTTGTTTTATGTCACATGTGAAGACATATTTATGTTGTCGAAAGCGAAAAATTATATCAGTGGGATCGTTATGCAGTTTTGGGCCTTGGTGTTGTAAGCTGTTAAGCGAGATTCCAGTAGAAGTTGGGACCGAACTGTTAAAAACCACTCTTAGCTTGTCTCCTTTAAAAACACCATGATGAGGTAGGAAGAAGTGAGGTTCGTCTGAGGGCGGAATTGATTCACAAATTTCCATATGACCAGAAGCCTCATAATCTTGCATGAATTCAACATATTTCATCTTGAAGTCTGGTTGAGCAGCAAATTTATTTTCAAGTGAGTTAAACATACGTTTAGCTACAGGTGCTGAAAGACCCAATTTCTGAGGAGATTCCTTAAACGGTAAATGACAGATATATCTACCGGTATTGTCACGTGAGTGTGAGTTTAGGAAATGTTTTTCACACTCTGCATCAGTTGGCGAAATTTTCAAAGTTTGAGGCGGTTCTTCAATTGACCAGAATCGTTGAAGAGTAGCATGAAGATCTAAGTCGTTAGTTGAGAGAAGAGTGGATATTCCACTAAATTGAAGCGGTTGATTGGAGGGAGCAATAGGTGCGGCACCAAGCACAACAAAGCCAAAAATTGTTCTCATAATGAAGGGTAAATTTTCTCCCATACTTACAGGCGGCTCAAGTAAAGTTTGAGGGAATAGATCCGCTCCTATCAATAAATCAATGGGACCTGGCAAGTCAAAGGTTGGATCGGCTAGCATGTATTTTTTCAGTTGAGCTTTGATGAAGGGTGAGAGTTGAACTCGAGGCAGGTTACTTGTAATCTGATCAAGAATAAGAACAGGATGAGAAGAGGCCAAATTTGACCCACTGAGGGAAGAGATATTCAGATGTGTGAAACCTTTAGGCTTTATGTTAGCCACAGAAATTCCTTTGATATCAGGGACGCCAACAGCAGAGCGTTTTACATTTAATATATTTGCACAACTTTCTGAAATAAGTGTGGTTTGTGAGGCGCTATCCAAAACAGCACGCAAAACGAGACCGTTTCCTTTGTGAGTAGAAACTTTCACTAAAGCGGTTGCAAGCAATACAGTATTATTCTGAGTACGAGCCAAACCCATAAGAGTATTCGATTGATTGACATGATCAGGGGACTTAACATTACTTGTACAGGGATCAGTGTTTGCTTCATTCAATCTTGTTTGAGCCTGGTCAAAATGCAGGAGAGTATGATGTCGTTTTGAGCAAGTAAGACAAGTCTGGTTAGATTTACACATTTTAGGTTTGTGCATACCAAAACAGTTTACACATAAGTCTTTACTCTTAATGAAGTCAAATCTGTCCTTAGTATTAATGCCCCCAAATTTAGGACATTTGAATACTATGTGAGTAGTAGCGGAGCAATAAATACATTTAAGCATTCGACCTTTGTCATTAGACGACAACAATACAACATTAGCCCTATTAGTTTTAGCCTTATTCGCAAAATTAGATTTGATTGGGTGGTTGCTCTTGTTTTCATTTGGTGAAAATGTTTTGTTCGAAACAGAAGCTAACTCCGCAGCCTCCTCTTGTGTACATTTATTTTCCAAGAAAAGAATTAATTCATTGATAGTAGGGACCTTTTTTGAGTCATTACGTGAGTGTTCAAACTTAGTGCGGAGAACAGAATCAAATTTACGCAAAATATGCGTTGTCAAAAGCAAACTTTCATTAGCAATATCATGACCGAGAGTTTTTAAGGCCTGGTAGTTTTCATTGTAAACTGAGAGAAATTTCCGCAATTGTTTGACAGTAGGCCTAGTAAGTTGAGGTAAATCTAAGATATTGTTAGTATGAAGAGTGATTAGCAACCTTGTATTGTGGTATCTATCTATCAGAGATTGCCATGCTATAGCATAGTTTGCAGCGTTAAGAGGCAAAGATTTCACCAAACTCAATGGCTCATCTGAAAGACAGGATAGCAAATATGTAAATTTTTCTATGTTACTGAGTGACTCATTAGTATGAACTGCATTTTCAAATATGCTATGAAACGACATCCACTGGTCTGGTTGACCAGAGAATTTACCTAAATCCAATGAAGGCAATTTTATTGTCGGAGGTACAGCCACAGCTTGTGCTGTTGAACTAGCGGTGGACTGATTCAATTGCTCAGATACTGCAGGTGTAGGTATTAATGTGCTACATAAGCTACTAATATTTATGTACAGGTCAGATATTTTATCTTGAAGTTCGGTTACCTTTTCATCTACGATGTCTTCAGGTAGGGGAGTTGTAGAGAACAACTTATTAACAATTTTTTCAAATTCTGCATGTTTTTGAGAAGCTGCAGTTGAAAGTAACTTTATTCTATTTATTTGTTGATCATTTAAAGATTCAAGGGCTTGAACAGTACTTAATGTTGTAACTTGCTTGTCAATACTACTAAGTCTTTGTTCAATAAGTTGACTTTGCTTGACAAAAGATAAAAATCTCATTTTGGAATAGAATAGTCAAACACACAATAAAACTCAAAAAGTCTGTATAAACTCCACCTTGGAATTTATAAATTAAAGTTATTTCTTCACTAGAAATTTCAATAACTTATTTTGCAAAGTATTTGCAATATAAAATCACACTAAATTATTTACATTTTAATTTTCTTTCCAGAAGTTCCAGAAGTATCATTTAATACAATAATGATCAATCGACAATATTACTGTACAAAGCAATCAGCTGTTTTCGTGATAGATGAGAATCAATAACATTTGTAGATAATCAGAACAAGGAAAGGAAGGATAATTATTTCTGGCTACACAATGAATATCCTGGAATGCAAACAGAATACTGAGAGGGGAAGGGGGGTATGTCTGCTAGAGATAAGGCTCATGAAATGGCTGAGATATAATCATGAATATTTAAAATTGGACATGAAACTAGACTTTCACTTTTGTGCATGTTTGGAAATGAAATATGAAAAATCATCAAACTTAAATATGTTTGATTTTGAAAATATATAGTACAATGTCCTATGATTTAAAAAAATCAATAAAACAACACTGGCTTATTTAATAAATGTTCACAAATTATAAAAATGTGTTTGTGATAAAATAAAAAATGTATTTCACAATGAAATTAAATCTTAACAATTCTTTAAATATTTCCAACGCACTGAGTTTATCCGTCTGGCTCGAAGTACCAAAAATGTGGGGAATTTATGTTAATTAGAAAGCAATGTGGACTGTATTATAGTAATTTTGAATTGGATACACTAACCTTTTGTTATTAAACTGATGCGTAGACTGGGGGCCCCCTTTGATGAATCCTGAAATGCTATAATGTTGATAAGTTCACTTTTTCTCACTATATGATGTTAAAAAACACTTCAATTGTCTTTATAATAAGTTATAAGCCAGCGGTAAATATTTATGTTGGTAAAGAGGTTTATGGTATTTGAAAATGTAGGAGAAAAGGCATGTTAAGTCCTCATAGCAACAGGACTTGCCCAAGAGTGTGCCACTACTCTACTGAAGGAAGGAGTTGGTCATGTGATACATATCAGTGACCAATCAGAGAGCTAGTCTTGAAACCATTGGGGTTTGAAGATACTGATGCACTCTATGAGGAAAACATTTAACTATTTGAAATGGTATTTAAATGGAGATTGTGGTGAAATCAGTTACATATTATTAGAGTGCATTAAAATTAAAAATTAATATAAGAATACTTAGAACAAAACAGTGTATATATTTGACAACATCTTTAAATATAAATATTTACCGTCTTGTAAATGTTTACAGTATACGTTTGGGTGCACGAAATAGGAACGGATGAATGATAACTTGAAACCACGAGAAAGAATGAGATGAAGAATGAGATCAAAATATTCTAAAACAATATAATTGTGAAAACTAACGCCGTGATCGATTCAGGTCCATAGGAACATAACATTTTCTCGCAACAAGTCGACATACAGTAAAACTACTACACAAGGTATTTTGTGATAACCCAATATTAACCCAATTCGAACGATTTATATGTTTTAAGTTTCATGAATGTTGATGTTTCGAGAAGAGCACAATATTCAAATTAGGTTTTAGATAGATAAAAAATATTGATGATACAGCTTTATTTGCTTACGAATGATTCTGATACTGTACTGCTAATTTCAGTAAACTCAATTAATCAGATAATAAGATTGCTGTACAACTTTATGTTGTCTTATTATATGGTGTTTATTATATAGTTGTTTGTATTATATATATTGTTGTATTATATAGCGTGGTTAAGCTAGAAGCATAACATATTTTGAGCAATTTATACTAACATTATATAACAAATATACTTTCATTTTTTAAATCATCGTCACTGAACGTTATACAGTATACACGAGATTCTAACTCATGTAAATGAGAATATGCAACCTGAAATAATAAACTCATTTACAATAACTGCACGTATTTAGGGAATAATAATAATAATAACACTACACTAAAAACAGCTATTTTAGAAGTAATAATTTTTCTTACCATTCGTTTACGTAAAGCTTTCCAAGATCCTTCGTTGCAATAAGTAGATCATTAAGTAGGCACCCCTGAAAAAAAAACATTGTAATTAATGAAACTATTGCAGCAAGAGTAGTTACACAACATAACCTATTCAACACCAGACTCAAACAAAATAAATAAGCTATGTTTTGAACAGTTTTACATGGTGAGTGACAAAAACATTGAAAGTATGCGTTCCCAAAACAAAGAAAAAATCCAAAAATATCTTAGGCTTGTTATGGTAGTAAACAAGTAAGGAAAACGTAAACAAAAATAAAGATTAACAGATTCACTAGCTAACTACAGTATTCGCATTTTGCGATATTAGGAATAGATTATTGAACAACGTTTGGATATACGTACCATAAACTAACTACAGTTAGAAATACTAACGAGTTTCCCCGAGCAATGCTTGGCTCCCAGATGCTAATTTTTTTGATTGAGTTCAATGACCTTGGACCCGGGTAATGCAACCCTGGGAATCATTTATTGAGACCAGCCTAAGTTGAGACGACTCATGATATATGTTCGATTAAATTACGCTGACGAGGTCTTGTCATTATCTGACCGTCACATCAATTGACGCTGACAGAGGACTCTTTGTGTCTGACATGTAGACCGACACAAAGGGGCCCACTGTAGACTACAGTAGAGTATAGTGAGAAGCTGATGACCTTACCTCATTTACCTGTGAGGTTAAATGTTGAATAATGGTTAAGTTTTAGGTTTTTCCTATAACACTGAAATTTGTTACTAAATTAGTATATGTACCAGGTGTAGCTAATCTTTGATTTAAATTGAACAAAATGTATTGAACCACCCAGTGTGCGCTGCTGTCAAATTTAGGTTTTTCCTTTAATTATCAGTGCTACGATTGATGTGCTATTAAACACGATAGTTTACGATAAGCTATCAATTAAATTATGTTTGGTTAAAAGGCGTATCCAACTGAAATTAGTAATTGATAATACCTCACTATATTGGCAATTCAATTCAATATTAAGTCATTCATTTTAAAGCTGGCTACACTTTTAACATGAAAACTGGATGTATATTTTTTTGTAAAATATAATTGATGCCTTTAGCAGAAAAAAATAACTTATGGATTTCATAGTCAACTACTGCAAGTCTAACCATTAAAGGTAAGGTATAACAGAGAGAAATAGATGCAAAATATAATTGCCATGCGTAATTAGGCATAAATAAACCCCGTCACAGAGCAAAGCTTAGGATTTGAGCCATTAAAGTCCCGTCGTCGCGCCACCACAAGTGAAGTATGGACTAAATCCCCAGGAAAATCGGTAAAAACACTAATTACGTTTGAGACCCGACCTACAGCAGAACCAATAAATGCAACTCATTATAACTGATGTATTGGCCCTTTTTGTACCCTTAGAAATATTTTTGTGGGTCACCTTATGTTAAAGTATCTACATTATTTGGAAGAATTAAAAATAATAAACTGCTGAAACAGTTTTGTTATGGATAAGTTGAATACAGTTGAAAGGCGATTTTCTGTGTATTTCAGTGGCATCATTTCACCAAATCCTTAGGGGCGAACAACGGGGGTATGAAATATCCCTCACTAAAGAGGGGGGTCCGGGATCCCTCCCCGGGAAGTTTAACAGTTTTGAAACCTAAAAAGAGGCACTTAGGCTTATTTAAAATGTCGAAAAACTAAACAAATATTCTAGTACAGCATATTTTTGCTCTGACCCAGGAACCGGGGTGGGGGCATCATATGAAACCCTCCAAATTTCGTTTTGGTGTTATCTATTGATGTATAAACTTAAACACAAATTTACCAATCCAATGACATTTATATGCAACGACTTAGTATTTGAGGCTCGGGATTAATACGATAATCAATTTCAACATAATTTTCTTTTTATTTATATGACGTTTACTAAAGCAGCATTTTCTATCTTGGTACAATATATTCACGAACCTGTTTCAGCCAACGAATCATGTTTCAACAAACAAAACACCGATGAAGATGGATTTGGGAAGATAGAGACCGGTAATAGGTAAATTTGCCTTCAGCTGGTCGAGAATTTCTTACTTACATCATGCTATGAAATTGAGTGGATGAGAAGCCAAATGTGGCTTTTGTTCGTGGTCTACTTTCTATGCACCAAAGTGGGTCTATTCTATTTATACAGTGTGACACGAAGATTGCAACACTGTCCAGGGTATATAAAGACAATATTGAACAAAGAGGTTTGCATCGCATAACGAAAGCGTTACAAATAGGTAAATATTGAACATTGTTCGGACTAATATTGTACTAGCAAAAGTCTGTTTCAACTAGTTTGATTTAATTTTAAACAAAATTAAAATTTGTTGAATTTGAAGTAGGTTTGTTTAAAATTTTATCATTTTATGAAAACATTTAAAATTTTCAAGCTAACAAAAAACATAAAGAAAAAAAATTTAGATGTATATAGAAATATTGAACATCTCAATCGGAATGTTGTTTATTTTTGGATCCATTATGGATGATAAGATTTAAAATATCGAAATCCCTCCAGCCGCAATAAATAGTTGACCCACTAACTATATATATCCAATAGTACTTCACGGTATATCAGTTTTACTATTGATCCTATTGTATTGTCTAGTCTGGATTTACATTTTATTCTGAATTGATTTTTCCTTACATAAATTGTGGAAAAGATATTGTCTCTAAAATTGAAATCCAGCCAAAATCTCTGGAGAACATACATCATGTGAAAAGATCTTACTTTAAAACTGTTAATTTATGGCATAAATAAAATCAAAATGTAAATATATTCTATGCAGTTAACACTTGCTTCAAGTGACACACTTGGTTTAATTTCCACACTTTGCTTTTTATCCAACAGTTGATATCTAAAACAATTTGATTTCAATTTAAAATCATAATGAAAAACTCCACCCATAAATATAAAATTAAGCTAACAAAAAACTAGATTAACACAACTTCCATTATGTCACTCATCCATATTTTATGTTTATATATTTTTTTTCCTAATATACCATAGTTTGTTCCTTGAAAACTAAACTAAAATACATGTGTTTTAAGTAACACTTATCTTTATCCATGCCTATTCACTCAAGCAACACATGATTATAAATATACTCCTGTAAAGTAATTTTTAGTGTTGATGTTATGTCTTCCATAGTAAAATTGGACATGAAAAGTAACATTTTGTGCCAATTATAAAAATCAGTTCCAATAAAAAAACTGCAATTTCAATTAATGAAAATACTTACTTAAATTTTAAATAATTAATCAACGTTAAAGAGTTGTTAAGGAAAATATAACTGAAGTGACCAAATACAAAGCACACAACCTTATTGTAGGGTTTACAATGTTATTCAAATTAAGGTAAATGGAATTAGGACCGTCGAGCCGTTTGTAGAAACGTTCAGAACCAGAGATAGAGAGAAAATGGCCTTTTAGATGACTGTCTGCTCGTTGTGGAAATGGTTATGTTGGTTAAAATATAAATTAAAACTGAAAAGATAATAAACACCATACGACCGCACATAACAATATAACAATATGTATATTCCCGATGCAATTAAAATAGTTAATCTAAAATATGGAAATTAATAATGATATTTAATACTTGATTTTCTGAGTAAAACAACAATGTTAACAATATTTATTATGCGCTTTGTTTTATATAATGTTATTTATTTTGAAGCTTTTAAGTTGCTCTGTATAACTGATATCCTTTTTCCTTTTAAAATTGTGAAAGCAATATTATTATTTAGTCTCCAGCATAAATAACAAACTTCCAACTCCAGATGTTAGACAATGAATAAATAATATACATGATTGGTTTTAAAGGAAAATAAATCAATTTGTACCTGTTGTACATTAAACTAAAACACTACAAAATACTTAAAATAAATCCTTTCCCTACTAGGACATTGAATTCTATATAGGCCTTGTTGCACTCAGATTGAATATATCTTTAAACCAACCATGAGTTTCATATCTTTGCTTTTAACATGCATAACTTTGGGCACACCATCATTTTAGTTGGTTTTTACCGCTCTCTACATTAAGATTTGCATTTGCAACAGTTGTATGTGCGTTACGTGTTTATTTACATTTTAAATAAAACTAAATACGACAGCTTTTTTGATTTATGAAAATATTAACAAAACCTAATGTACTACTAATTCCTTTAAAAGCAAGATGCCCGTAATTTCTTGAATTAATTATTTACTGTACGATTTATGTGGAGTGAGTTCTCCCATGTGGAAAAACATCACCAAAATTTATTTTGTGATTTAGATTAATGGATTTGCGATTGGTGGGAATCGAACCTATGGTCCAAGGACATAGGCCACCCCTAACGGCATCTGACGCTATCGGGTTCCTTGCACATTATAAATAATAATAATAATTATAATAATAATCTAAATAATAATTTCAGATTTTTATTGAGTAGCAACAAAAATGTAAAACTGCACAAGTATTTACTGTAATTTACAAATTTCCGTTCTCAATCGGTATAAATGGGCGGAAATATACCGTCCGACGAGGCTTTGAACATTTTCAACGCCACAGCAATTTCATTCATGAAATATATAAGGGTATATTTGAAGGAAATCAACAAAGAAGGCCCCTCCTCCATATTTGGGACGTGTGGGTGATATCAGTAAAGAAGCTATTCTCGTCCTCCAAATGCGTGAATTATTGGCGACAAAGCCTGCAAATACTCGATACAAGATCGAAGTATCGATTGGTTCTCTCGAATACTTGGCGGTACAAAGGGAGACGATCCGATTATTGCAGAGTAATCCCTCAAGCTGGCTCAAGCATACACTCAGACAGAAAAAGAGTTAATAATGTCCTGACGATGAAAGGTCTGACACCGAATCATTTTTATTTTTGTAGACCAAGCTTATGCGAGTAATTTAAAATGTCAAAAATAGGAGGTAAGATTGCCTCAAAGGGACGAAAACTTTATTTAAATAATTTTCCATCAACGTGTAGGTGTCCTATTCATTTGTTTGTAGGCCAAAGCTACCCACCTGACATAAAATT